GCCGGGTCTTCCCCAGCTGGACCGACTCAGAGCTCAACAGCCGCGAGCCGCTGGAGCCCGGAGCTTGGCGCCTGCCGGTCTCCATCCCCTTGTTTGGGAGGACTACAGCCGTATAGAGGGGTGCCCGGCGACCCGAGCCCCAACAGTAGACTCCTGGCCTGACTGAGAGGCTTTTTAAATACTTCCCTTGGACTGCGGGGGGTGGGAGGGATTTCTTACCCCATTTGTTACATTTTGAGGATAATAAAGGTGTGTGATCTGGTTTGGTACAAGCGGAGGGGACACCCACTGCTTGCGTCCAAGGTTCTGGTGGCCAAGTGTGCCTGGGCCTTGGCAGGAGGAAAGCTGAGTGCGCTTTACAGCTAAGTGGCTGGAGGATGCAGAACTAAACCCGAGGTCAGCCTGCTTCCCCCAAGAGCCTCAGACCCCCTCTTCCCTGCCCATGAAATCACGGTGAGGTGCCCCTGTGGCCTTAGAGGTGGGACAAGGGGTCAAGGGCAGGCGGCCCAGCAGCAGGCCCAAAGGGATCTGGATTTCTTTATTAACAGACATGAGCACGACCCGTTACAGAAGTTTGTGCTTTCCAAAAAACAGTTACTGAATGTGAAAAAGGGACCCAAGCAAAGAAGGGAGTTGGGGAGGGGCCACCCAAGCCCTGGGCCCCACCCATAGCCCTGACCTGAATCGGGCCTAAGGCCTCCAGCCTGGGACCCGCCCAGCAGGAGGGGGCAGGAAAGGGCTGGGAAGCTGAGCTGCCCCAGCTGGGCCTGCTACTTCCTTAGGGCCAGGTGGGTAGAGGTCAAGAGACGGGCAGGGAGGGGGTCCCAGGGAGCCAGAGCCCGCGAGCCATTTATTGCCATGTTTTCAAATTCGTGCAAAATATCTGAAGCCCTGGACAAAGAATACAAAGTGATATTTTTCCAAGAAACATAAAACTAGGAAAAGAAGTGGGGGGCATTTTCCCACCAGAGCTCCCCCCTCACCAGGCCCCAGACAGGGTGAGGCCTCCACCCTGGCCAGCTGAGTGAGCAGGGAGGGCTAAGCGCTACAATCTGGACCGGGTGGGGAGGGGATGGAATTTGCAACAACATCTCAACTACCAACGGGAGGAAAACCAGTCAACTGTACAAGTCTCCTATCAACTTTTTTTTTAAAAAAAGAAAGAAAAGCTGTAAAAGTCAGGCCCTTTGGGCAAGGAAGTGGCCAAGTCCCCGGACAGGGCCGGAATCTGGAGTGGGTGCCAGGCGGAGCGTCTTCGAGTACAGGCGCAGCGGGCCATCTGGGCAGAGGCCAGCGCAGGTGGGTGGTCTTGGCAAGGACAGCCTGAGGATGGGCGCCACTGCTAATCGCCACCCTCAAAGCCCTCCTCCTCTTCCGGGACTGGGTCTGCATCCCAGCAGGTGATGTCAATTTCTATGGTGTTGGGAAAAGAGGGCAGTTAAGGAAATGGCCAGCAGATCCACGGCTGTACCCCCTGGGAACTGTGCCCGCCCACACTTAAACCCAGCATCCCCATCCTAATTCTGACCCATCATCCATACCCACACTACCTGGAGGCTTATTGTAGAACACAGGAGGTGGAGCCTTTGCACACAGATCTTCTGATTGGGCGAACTCCTCCTCCTGTGATTGGCTGAAGTACCCCTCACTGGCCTGCGAGGAGGAAAGCACCAGGTTACTGTGGCCCCACCCTGCAAGACTAGGGCTGACCTACCAGGCCTGAGACAGTTTCTCCAGCAACCAGTGATTCCACCCATGGTTACCAAGAAAACAGACACCTAACTTGGGAACAAAAGCAGAGCTGGCGCAGGGAAGGGGAATGGAATACAGCTTCCCCCTAATAATGTGGGCCACAGAGAAAGGGGGTACTGCTGCAAGCCTAAAACACTCAGGGTCAGCCCCCTTCTCAAGCCCTGACTTCCAACCCTACCACCAGGCTGCCCTGCCCTACCTGAGTCCCCTCCTTCTGGGTGGTCTCGCCATTGGTCAGCAAGTGGGGCTCCGGCTCGGGCTCCGGCTCAGGCTCTGGCTCCTGATCCAGCTCCTCTAGAGCAGAGGGTGGAGTAGGGGCCTGGGGAGCAGCCAGGGGCACCCCTTCTACTTCCTCCTCTGGGTCACAGAAGGTGGCTGGTGGCTCAGGCAGCTCATCAAAATTGAGGAGACTGGCACAGACTTCACCTGCTGGTGGCAGTGGCTCCTGAGCCCCCTCATCCAGCAGGGGCACCTCCGCCAGAGTGACCTCGGCACCTGAGGGTGCTGTCAGAGCGCTAGGCTCAGCCTGGGGTGCAGAGGCGCCATCCCCGTTGTCAGGCCATAGGTCAATGAGGCTGGCAGTGGCAGGGGCGACAGTGTTGGCAACAGCGGTGTCAGCAGCAGCAACGCCATCGGTTTCAATGGCAGCAGCTGCCAGGGTGTCGGCTGCAGTGGTGTTGGCTATGGCAGGCTCTAGAGGGGCAGCCAGTACAGCCTGCTCAGGAGCCACCATGAACATAAAGTCCTCTATGGGGCTGCCTTGCCCCTGGGGAGGCTCCCGTGCCTGCGGGGACTCCTCCATGGGGCCAGCCCAGACCTCAGGGGCTGCAGCTCTGCCCTCCTTGCTGGTCCCTTCGCCCTCCAGGCCGGGGCCAGGCTCCTGGGTCTCTGTTACAGAACAAATGGAGGAGACAGATGTGACCAGCTCCACCATCGAAGGCCATGGACAAGCACACTACCTACCCTGTCATGCACTGAAAATCTGACGACCTCCTGGGAAGAAGGCCTCCATTAATAACTCCATGCAGAGTACCCTCCAGCCCCCACTGGGCCCTGCTGCCCCTTTACCTAGTGTCTGCAAGCCTCTCAGCAGCCTTGGGAGGAAGGCCTGAGTCCTACTCCATGGAGAGACACGGAGGCTCAGAGGGTAGATCTGACTGCCACACCAGGGCTCCTCCCTGCCACAGCCACCTCCAGGGCAGTACAGTTTGGGTGATGGGTGGCCCAGGTGCCTGGGGAGTTGTTACCATGGTCGCCTGGGCACAGGGACTGGTGAGAGGCCCAGTACAGCTTGGGCCCCTCACTTACCTTGGGTTTGTGGAGGTGGTGGTGGTGGTGGTGGAGGCTGAGAGGACGTGACCTCATCCAGGGCCCGCTCGATCTGCTCAGAGACAGGGGTGGAGGCTGTGCTGGAGTCAGATGGGCTCCGGGTGGGGATGGGGGTGGGTGCCATCCTCCGGTGGCTGTCCAGGTGGCTACCTGTGGAACAAACCCCCACGGTTAATGAGGGCCAAGAAGCCAGGTGGGACCAGGATTGTACACCTCAGGGCCTGGCCAGCATCTCTTCTCTGGAGTCTGGGTGGGGGGCTGGGAGCTCCCCAGGCTCCCCAGGGTCCAGACCACAACTCCAGACCCTATAAGCCAGGCCCCTGGGGGTCAGTGCTCCTTCAGGGCCAGGGAAAAGAGGCAGGCAGTACCTGCTCTGGGGACAAACACCAGAGATCAGTGGTCAGGCTGGGGAGTAAGGGCAGGGGTGCTGCTGGGAAGTGGGGCCCTTCTTACCCCCCTGCCGAGGCCTGGGGCTGCTACCTACATGGGAGGGAGGAAGAGAGGTTTGGGGTGCGGTGACAGGTGATATAGGGAAAGGGAGTCCGTGGAGGGGAGGAGGAGGAAGAGGAGGAGGAGGAAGGCCCACTGTCCGATGCCTTTATGAAAGGGCAGTACGGACGACCTGCCGAGAGAGACAGACAGAGAGAGAGACAGAGGACAAGAGAGGGTCAGTCTCCCCCACCCCCGCCC